TTCGGCGTGACGTGACTTGACGTGGGGAAAAAAGCGGAAGACCAGGATCGAGACAAAACGAATATACTGTCACACAAACGCGGCTGGTCAGCAGGCTAGTCCAGGCGGAAACGTGCCCTAATGCCATCGGCCCTAAAACATAGTCAACGTGACTCATGGCCCAGTTAGCGGCAGCAGCAGCAGATACGCGGCCGATGCACAAACACGCTTAGGGCAGAACTAGAACATAAACCTCGACAGTGAAAAACCCACTAATTACCCTCAAGGAGACAAGACTGCCATTGTGAAAGGCCCTGGGGGTGTATCCATAAATGAACAAGCACATGCAGCACCAACTAATTCAATAAGTTCGGGTCTATATTAATAAGGAACGTGTTTTCCTTGTGCATGACAGTCAATGTGCCGCAACAAAAGTAAGAAGTGGGTTTCCGTTTCAATTTTTGTTCTTAACCATCAAGCAAATGCGTAATAAGCCGACTGGGTAGCTGCTATTGGCTTAGAGTGTACCAATTATTGAATCAATATGGCAATCAGATATAAATTAGAACGTTTTGCGGCTTACCGCCGTTTGCTTACGCTTAAAATTATAGTAAGCTTTCGCCTAAATATGCTTAGTAAAATAGAACAGAATGTTTCAACATTTATTGGGAGGAAAAATTTACCTATCTGTTGCAAGTTGCTGCCTGTTGACTTTTCAAATACTATAGCAGCAACCGAAAAGTAATTGCATAATATATACAATTTTACGAAAGGATTGGGCCAATAAAGTAAGGACGCCCCTTTATCACTTATTATCCACACCCTCAGAACCAATAGCGGGTCCATTGCATGCATGGTTAACATCTGATAGGGCGACCTTCGTATATTCTATGTAGTTTAGGCCATAAGTTTGCAAACAATCATCAGCACCTTTACCGAATGCACACGAAAGAAGCCATGTCCATTCCCTATTTCGACCTTTTCAACTGCACGAAAAAGCTTAAGTACTTGTTCAGCGAAAAAGTCTGGAATTACAGGAAGCCCAGGATTCCACGCTAAGAGCGTCTTGTCGTAGATTTTACCGATTTCTGTCAGTAATCCAGTTCCTTCGACCGATAAATCCAATGACGAAGACACATTCCTTGAATGTCTGACTTGCAGCACTTCACTAGGGTAGTGACAATGCCTCAGTTGCCCAGTCGTTTCCGGGAAATAAAATTAAGAGTAAATGCTCCAGTTGGGCTCTGTTTATTTGCAATACCCCAATTAAATCTTTAGCAGCATGGTAAAGATTCGATACCACGGATCGCCCAGCTTTTCTACATACTTAAGGTTATAGTACTTTTTCAAGCCACCTGGAAGTGGACTGCCTATCCATTCACGCACTTGCCAACCGAAGAAAGAGGATTGGTCCTATTTTTCGCCTAAAATAGACGAGTTAAATTTCTTCCCCAAGCTATGTGCGTAGGATAGGACTGAAGTCTGTGGCATTTTTGCAAAAGACTAATGCCAGTCGATCCTCTGAATTCCTTTTCTCCTATTAGACTAGATCAATATACAGTAACACAGAAAACCAAAATAGCCTCAACTGTACTATCGACGTCCGCGGAATAATATTCATGAAGGACTCCCATAACCTTTTCAGTTTAAAAAAGACTAGCAATCATTCTTGCCAAACTTTCCTCCTGATAGGGTTTGCTTACATGGGCCTCCCGCCCGTACGGGAATGGGAACAGGGACCACCAATACTATAAGTGACTGTGAGCTAAATTCCGTGGAACTTAAAGTTACAGTTAAAATTAGAGATGGGGTTAGAATTGGTGTTAAGATTAGAGTTAAGGTGAATATTTACGTTAACGGAAGGGTTGGAACTAGGAAGCGGGAATAGTTACCCTTGCTGGAATTTAGCGCAAGGCCAAATGTAGAATGTCGGGAGGGTTCCTACTTCTGTGCCGTGTCAGGGGAGGAGTGATAATCTCACCCCAACTCCTTCCCGAAATGCATTTACTGTCTTCAAGTCTTTTCTGGATTTGAACGACTTGAAATATCTGCAGCTGGATCAAACTGCACATTTCATCTTTTAATATAAGAAGCGAAGGGCAACTGGCTGCGGATATTGAACTGCTGGTACCTTTAAAAGTGGCTTGGTTCTCTGGACGTTAGTTTCTCTGCTCTTACGAAACTTACCACTTATTTCATCGGATTCATTCCCACCAACAGTGGCTAGTTAGCGGTGTGAGTACGGTTTTGAATAACCTCTTTACAACCGTCCAGGCGCCTTCATAAAACCTTACGAAACGCTTTTTTAAGTGTGACAGCCGGGAAGGGGTAAGAGAAACCGATATAAGTAAGCACTTTCAACAAAGTATGCGTTTACGGACGTGCCTCGGACTGCATGCTTAACCGAATGTTTACATTAAATGATGACTTGGCAGCATGACAATCCGTATCTCGTTCAGTCGCACTAGTACGCGTGAAAATTCCCTCTCTCGGTGGAACAAGAAGCAACACTTTATCGACAATTTGTCCATGTTAAATGATAATGGCTCTCAGTACCCGGAAGGGATACAAGCTAAAATGCGAGTCCCAGAAAGCAGTTGAGCTGTAGACACGATCGCTGGGATAAGAAATTGATTCGCTTCAGGTCTCAGATTCATGCTCGAGCCCATCATCAGATACGGATAACACGTACACAAAGGATGCAGTCGCTATGTTACTGTATACCTATACCACAGTGATGCGATAATGGCTGGACGACCGGCATTCGAATATTTAATCATTGAAATTTAATCATACTTGTTGATTGTTGGCATGATAATTGTTTGGCTCACCGACACTGGTGCTGGACACGGTATTCGCTTGCGTGCTCCCCGGATAGTCAATGACTTTGGGCAAATGACTCAGTAGCAAACATAGGTTGTGAAGTTCATGCACTGAGGGTCTGTTAATCATGACTCAATTAGCTCGCCTTTCGCGCGATTATCTTCTCTCGCGAAAACTTCGACCTCGTTTAACTTGAATGTGTCACTGGGTCTTGTCGAATAAACCGCGAGAATGATGCCAATTCTCAAGTCACGGCTCACTTGACTAGATCCGGCCA